GTACTGATCTGTACTAAATCTAAATTTTCTACCATGGCTTTGCACGCTGTATGTGACCTGGCCTATTTCCTCCTTCCCATCCTCATCACTGTTCTGTGCTCTACCCAGAGTTATGGTTTTCAAGGTCCTTTGGCCCATGAAACTCTCTCCATCTCCAGCCCTTTGTGCTCCTGTCTACTTTCTAGGCACACAGTTTTATGTGGTACCTCTCAACTTTTTCACTTTCAAGATTTAGTTTAAAACTCACTACAGAGCTATAAAAGGCTCAAGTCAGCAACTTCTGACATTGTCAGTCCTACAGATAACCCACTACTATTATGGACTACATTAGATTATTTTGCTGAATTCATGCACTTACAATATTTAAATGGCAATGGAATATCTATCTCGGACAAAACTAAACAAAAAAAAGGAGCTATAAATGAAGGATCATTTTGTATCTGTATATATAAAATAGGACAGATATACAGCTACTTTCTTTTAATTCAGTGAGAAGAAAGATTTGTACTAATAGTGTTTGGACAGGATATCATGTCTGCATCTTGTACTATGAATAACTACTAGGAAGACAACAATATGCAATGTATTAATTATTGTAACTGTCCTAATAATCTGTTGTAACTGTGTCATTGATATTTCTCAATGAAATTAATAAAAAATCATTTAAAAAACTCACTTCAGAACATCTTTTCTTAAGTCAGTTCCCCTTATTTATATAGATATCTTCCTGGTTTCCATTAAAGAAATGATCACAACGTATAAGGCTACTATTCATATTTTTAAATATTTCTGTTTTTTGTTCCCTTCAACTACATGGTAAAATTCAATAAGATAGCAATTAAAATCTGTTACTCATTTTTTATTTTTCAGTATCTAACCAAAACTTAACTACGTGATAGAAGAATTTATAAATAAACAATGAATGAATCAATCAATAAATGAATGCATACATGAATATCTAGCAGACAATGGAAGGCAAGAAAAGTATCAGATATTCAGTCATGTAAGATCTAGGGTAAGTCAGCTAGCAGTTATCATCCTGAACAAGAGTGGTAAATGAAAACCTCCATCTTTATTGAGCTCAGAGTTCTTGTCATGACTTTTTTCCTAGCCAGGGGTTTCTCCTGGTCCAGACAAGCACAGGGCTAGGGTCCAGACTCTGTTTGCTGAGAGAAGCCAAGGAAGATATAAACTCCTTATCTGCAATAAAACATCTCCACGCCTTTCTTTTATTCTTCCTGAGGGGAGTGACACCAGGCAGGTGCACTGCCTCTTTCAGAACTAAGTCAGTGGATGACACCCTCTTCCCATATCTCAGTGTTCTGGGATTCACATTTCTGTTCACTAGAACTGTCCACACACTGACAGAGACAGCCACAGTGCTTCATTTTGAACAGGATACATCTACTATCATCATGGCTTCATTCCAAACTTTTTAATGCCACATCTGTATTTTTATGAATTAAGTGCTAAAATTTACATGTGCTTTCAATAAAAAAAAGATTTCTTTTTTTTCTAGTGGTTTAAGAAATAAAAATGGTCTTGCACTCTTTGTCTACTCAATTACAAGAGTTTGTAGTAGGCATTCAAACATTCAAATGTCATGACAGATGTGTCACTGAATCTCACAAAAGTGCCTTTCTTTGGGACCCCACTTCCCCATCTCATTGAATATATAAATGAATGAAAGCCAAAGCTCCTCTTGGGGGTTCAAGGAAAGCACCTTCATTCAATGGAGATGAAGAGTTATTTGTTGACACAAATGATTGCCACATCAGATGGGTTTTCCCAAAGGACAGTTAGAGAGAATTGAACAGCTGCTTTTCCTGTATTTTCACAAAGTAAGACAGAAAATACTGTTAAGGCTCCAGAGCACACTTGCACAGTCAAATGTTGGGGGTAGGACGGGGTGGCGAGAGGACACTGGTGTGACAAGCATTGCGTGGATGCTCAGGGGAGCAACAACATGCTGGAAATATGATCCCATGGAGTTAGCATCAGAAAAGTAGAATAATAATCTGTCAGAGGTAAGTTCTAGGCCTAAAAACACAAGGATGTCTGTGAGCCATGGGACGGAGACTAGAGAGGAGCTGAGGCAGGGTGCAGGGATACGCGGTAGCTCTCAGCAGCGCGGACTGTATAATTTATGCAACCCAGAACAAAAAGAAAATGTGGGCCCTTTATTTAAAAATCATTAAGAATTTCAAAATGTTATCAGAAGAGATTTAAATTAAGCTTAGGGCCTTTCCAAGAACAGCGCCTGTGGACTGTGCATGCTCCACTCTGGTAAAGACAGGGCTGAGGAGAGGTTTAGAGGGTGAGAAGCTAACTCTAGAGGCTGTCAATACTTTCTAGAAAAGCAAACTTTGCAGTCCACATTGCTGTCAGAAAATATCACTCTTGAATGATCAGAGTGAGACAAATAAATCATATTTGGGTACAGAATCCAGAAGTGGCAAAAAGGGGAGGCGTTGTCACAATTGTTATATGAATTCAAATTTGTCATGAATTTTAAAGCAACTTCTCCTTTATTATGATTCATGTCAGCATCAAAATTCCAAAATCAAGTAGAGCCTCCTGATGCTATCATGAGTGTATTACTGATGCCTATAAAATAACATCTTGCAATGTTTCTTTTATAAGGGTCATAAATCAAAACACTCAAAACAGTTAATTTTTAATGTACTACTATTATCCATCTTTAGTTATAAATTTACTATCTCCTTAGGCTTCACAGATTATAGTACAACTCAAAACATGCAAAGGCTGCTCAAAAACAGAAGGTTTCTCTAGTATCTCATTATTTAAATCCTTAAAGATAGCATTTTAAAAGCCTGAGGATATCTGAACAAGCTTGTTTAAAGGAGTTATAAAAAAGATAAGTAGTTTTCCTTATAAGCCCATAAAATCTATTACAACATATTAAAGGAAGATTATATATTGTCTAATTTTCTGAGGACACTTTTTCTTCTTGTGGGGGGTATTCATACAGAAAGAAAGGGAAAGAGGCTCAACACCACTGAATCCATTTGCCCTGAGCAAGTAAGATTTTCTCAGTCTGAGTGATGCGTGCATCTTGAGGTTGATCACCGGTGGTGATCGCCAATAGGATCACATGTTGGGGACCAGAATGGACGCTGTCCTGAATCTTCTGAAAGAGCAATAAAAATCTTTGGCATTTAGGAAGAGACACAAGGCAGCCTCACACCCTAACACACGCCTATGACAGAAGTGGCTTCTTGGAAGGAGGAGCTGCACTTCTTAGGAAACTGCCAAACTCCGAGAACCTTCCTGTGCGTGCCTATTTATGCATGCTTTGGGCAGGCTTCACGGTTCACTTTTCAATGCTATAAATCCCTTTCTCCTTTCGCTTAATGCCACCTTAGGTCAATTTACACTTTTATTAGCTTTTCTCTGTGAGTAAACATGGAATTTCTCTTAGTTTTTTGCTATATAGAGTCAGACAGAATCTGAGGGATTTCTCTGGCTTCCCCACTGCCTCACACTGACAAACTTCCCTTTGAAGCACTCTGCCTCTGGAGGTGTTAATTCCAGCACTATTTTCCCCTTTATCCAGGAAAGCGAGGAAAGGGGAGCATTCACACACATGAATTTTGAATTTGAAGGTGGCTTTTGCCAGTGGCAAATGGATCTGGGCTTATATGCTTTCCTTTTTGAAAAATGTTCTGACTGAAAATCAACTTCCAAATATCCTCCACAGTACCAAAGGCAGCAGTCGGATCCAGTCCTGAAATCTATAGCAGATTCAACTAAGAAGTGAAGTGTGAGTGAAACTCTTACTCAAGGCTAACACACACAAATTCCTGGTTATAGTTCTACTGATTGCCTCATCCTGTGATAGGGGTCAAGACTTTAGGAAGAACATACATTTTTCCATTAACCCCAAGAATTGTTCCAAACCATTGATGGTCCAGGACTGCAACATTTTATGTTTGTCACAGAAAAAAGAACTGTATGTAGAATATTTTCCAACTCTGGAACACAATCTACCACATTCCTTGGTCTGGGCACAATGTCATATGCAGTGTCATCAAGTCCAGTAGCGTATTCCATATGACCATAAGAACATGTGACCCCAGGGAGCTTGTGACTAGCGATTGAACAGCCAGCATCACCCAGAAGAGAAGTGACTCTCAGCCACAGAATCTGCCAGAGTTCAATGTTCCATTTATAACCATGTGGTAATTACATATTCCCCTATTCGATTATAATACATAAAGGACAGAAATAGGTTTTTAATAGCTAAAAAATCAGTGTTAAAGGAATAAATTCCTCTGTAAAATGGAATGCATGTAATTTATAAGCAAAGCTACCTAGAAGACCAAATTTCAAAGCAAAAGGTAAAATGCTACTAGTGAGACCTACTGATTTTAATATATATATTCACATAATGTGTCACAGTTACCCATGTGCCAGTACTATGACTTGATCTTTTTGTTTTCTTCAGTACTGCCATGGAAGAGATAGCACCGTCCTTTAACAGGCTTCTTAAAGACATACTTCAACCTCCATGAAGATATGTATTTTTATTCTCCTTATTTCTTATCAAACACTTGGAACAACCAAAAGGATATGAGAGTCACACCACACTGGTATATCTGGTAAAAGGAAACAGTCAACCAAAAACCACGCCTGGTGAATTGTGACAATGTCCGAGTCAATAATCATGCCTTAAAATGTGTGTTCACATTCTAGTAAGGGCACAGTTCACATTTTAAATAACAAAGACATATTTGAATCACACTAAACCCAGTCCCAACAAAGCAGAGCAGTAATATGATTGGGGTAGGAAGGTAAGGCGGGATGGACAGGACTCCTGGGAATGGCCAAGGCACGAGGACATTCTGCACGCACAGAACAAAGCAGCAAACATGGCACAATCACAAACTTCAGCCAGCACAACTCAGAACTCACACGACACAACACCAGAATGCAATCATGTCTTTTTTAGAAAAATGATATAAAAGATGATTTCTCACCCCTCAAAACAAAACTGGAACTTTGGTTTACAGGACCGGCTATGCCCATATGCCCTCCTCGTCATCCTGCGGCCGGCCCGAGGTGGGGAGGTGCACAGAGAAGGGGGAACACCAGCATGAAAGAAGAGAAGGTTAGTCACACTGAGATGCATTGGAAAGGCACATGAATCTTCACTTTGTTTTTTCATCTTAAAGAACGAGGACACAAAAAAAATCCATAGTCATTTAAATTCCACACCACTGACTTGTCAAATGTATAACAAGTCTTATATCTATGGCAACCCACACACAAAAACATTCCACCCACCCAGCTCTTACTTTTGTCAAGGTTGGATTAGAAGATTAAAATTAGACTACATTAGCAGATGATTTTTTTTAGAAAGCATGCAATTCAAATTGCTTATGCCTAAGGAGTAGATTAAACCTTTAAAGCAAGCAGAGAAGTAATTATAGTAATCAAATACCCTTAATTTTTCTTAAGCTTAAAGTATCAATAAAGGCTGAAGAAGAATTAAAGAAAAAAAAGAGCTCTGTCTACTTGGTTGGAACAAAATTCACATGCTTTCATACTTATTAGCTATTTCGTAAAGGCTCAAATATACTGTAATCTTATTTGTCAGGTTGTATTGGTCTGTTAGTATCAAAGAGAATGTGCACACCATGAAATGATTATACATTTACATAAAGTTATTATACATTTGCATAAAATGACTATACATTTACAATCAAATAATAGTTTAAAAGACAGTGAAGTTTTAATTTTAGTAGAATGCTTACAGAAAAGAAGTTTTAGGTAGCATTATGTTCAACTGTCAATACACTGAAACTAATTTGGTCTGAAATCTTGTTGAAAATGTTTCCAAAATGGTTCTGGCTACTTTCCTCTTTGCCTAGTGATCAACATGCAAGAAAATTGAGTTCCTGGAGATACAGGTATATCTATCATTGTAACATGCCCACTTGGAACAATCTTTCCTATTTACTGGATCAAAACACAATATTTATGACTGAGTGGTCCATAACCTGATTTCACACATAACTTAGAAGCAGGGTCACTTACTAAATCCCACATGAAACCAGATTTTTACTATGATTCATTTCTTTGTTTTGAAAATCAGCAATAAGAAAAAAAAATAGCTTGGAATGTTTTCTCACATTTAGATTCTTCTTATTGCATTGCTATAATAATAGTAAACTGAATTATCTGAAAATGCCAATATTTGACTATTTTTGATCTAGAAAGATAGCAACTGCATACAGTCTAACCAAGTCTTGCCAATGAGCCATGGTAACTTTTTCTACTTAAGGATTTAGATAGATGGTCTTCAGACTGACTCTGAGCCTAATTTTGTTCTTTGTATCTCTACCTTATTTCATGCATTTGAAAATACAATTCTCCAAAGTGGTCCAGAGACTTTACCAGACTGTTGAAAAGATCTGTGGCCCAAAGATGAAAAATTTTGGGTGGACTTGAATTACTCAGGGAATTTAGACTCTGAATTAGAAATGCAGCATGAATTTTTACTTAACAGTTTAGGTAGGAATGTCTTGGGAAAAAATGAGATACATTGATAATTTGGGTAGTCTTTTTATATAAAGCTTATGTTTATTTATTACTAAATAGTAAGTCCTTCTGCCAATAAACTTTGCTTTTCCCCATATGACTTGGTGAACACATATTTTTATATTCACTGAACTCCCCTCTGTCTCTGGAGAAAAGCAAAGTTGATGTTCCTTTTCATAGTAATAGAGGAGGCAAGTCCACAACATGAAATCCCACAGTTTCCATGTGTGGGAATTCAGCCACCTCATTTAATCAATGCAGAATGTTGTTGTTTGGTATATTTGTACATATATTTCTCTGTATAGGGGTCCTGGCTTTCATCCTAAGTTCTTGACCTCTAAAGATGCTACTGGAGGAACACTCCAGGCACACAGAGAGAGTCTCCAAAGCACCAAAGTCACAAAACAAAAAAGGGGGCTTTCATAAAACGTAGCAGGCAACCACGGGTGACCATTTCCTAAATGGCTGTCAAATAACTTTTCTTGAAGAAAGTTTATTTCATCCTGCATTTAAAACATAACAACCAAAAACCACTAACAGCACACACACACACACACACACACACACACATATGCATGTGTGTGCTCATAGATAGATAGATAGATAGATAGATCCAAATCCACTCATAAAGGTCGTTAATTAAAAAAGAAGGAAAAAAGGAAAAGCCACTGTCACCAAAATCTGCCATTGCTTTCTTAACAATACAAGGTGGTCTAATGCAAATTACTTTTAGAAAATTAAATATATTAAAATGTGGCAATTAATTATGATTGAAACAGACAGGAGTTGTAACTTGAAAATATACACTGCCAATATCACTACTGTTCCTAGTCTACCATAGGAATAGAAGGAGCTCCCAGATGTCGAGGGTTATTAAAAACCAGATGTTGAGATCGACATCTTGTATGCTAGTGAATAAAGTAAAGAAATATGACAGTCCAATATAAACTTTGCTAACACTTAACATGGCAGAAATGTGGATAAATTCCTTTTGTGAACTTGGAATATTATGCATTTTTAAAAGGCATTAGCTTTTAAAGAGTAACAAGTTTTTAAAAGAAAATAGTAGGCATTTCTAGTCTGTAGTGTTCAAAATGTAAACATGAATTGATCCTCCTCATCAAGTGATTTTGGGCAGGGTGAGTGTCCGTTTGGGGAATAAAAACCAAAACTGCAGGAGCTCATCAAGCAGCAGCTTGAGGGCTTCTAAATGGCCACAGCTGTCTGTTCTGCTGCCTGCATCTCACTGAGAAAATATTAATTTGTTCAGCCTCCTCACCATACAGAAATATAAATCTGAGGACTAAAAATAACAAGGAACATATAAGTGTCACTCGATCCCTAACTTCATGCTAAATTACTCAGAAATACCTGGAGTTTTCCAATGCATCTATCTATCAGGCTCAGGGGAATCCACTGCTTTCCTTTTTCAGTTTCCAAATCTACTCTGCAGTGGATGTTGCCTGGGGTGTTGATCCCATGTGTGTCCTTTGTGAGTGATTGTTCTGCCAGAAGTTGCCAAAATATCTGGATGCGGTGAAAGCCTTTAGGCCATCAGTCATCTGTGCTTGTGTCCAAAACATCTGAGGCAGGACTGTCCAAGGGGGACTCATGCTCAGGTCAGAAAGACCAGAAATCAGCAAGCTTGGAGGAGTGAGGGGGAAATATCAAACAACTCCAGCATGGATCTAAAGCTCCTGGGAGGATGTCGGACAGGAGGTCTTGACAGAAACAGGGTAGTCCAAGATGCTGGGCCTAATGGACTCTCTAAACACTGAGATAAAACAAAACTCCTTGCTGAATGGGCTACTTACTGTGCCTATGTTGCTGACAAGAGCTAAAGGCAAAGGTACTTGTGTCATCACTGACAAGAGATTTGCTATGGAGAATGTTTCTCAGCCATAGCAAAAAAGCTCTGAGCCAGAGCTGCACAGTCTGATGTTATAAATAGCACAAGGTAAAATAAGCCTTGAGTTGGTCTCTATTTCAAAGTATTAGTTTAGCCAGCAGGTAAACTTGAGGCTGTCATTGGATCTGGCTTTTTAAAATTATTTATTTATTTTTTTAAGTAACTGCCATTCTCTTTGAGTTGATATTCTGCTTTTATCCTCCCTAAAACTGGCGGATGAGGTTCCTAGTGGGGACCTGACTGTCATATGCACCTTAGCTAGACAGGTGGTAAAAATCATGAAAGTGTAACATTCTAATGGCCTGCTGCCCTCATGGGAGCTTAGCTGCTGCAGGCCAGGAGGTTCAACCTGGCTTCTTTGTGGGACAACTGCTCTGACTGTACTCAGATCTCTTGTAACCAGATTCACCCTCAGCCTTACTTCAGTTCAGAATTTAAGCCCCATCTCTCTGTACACCTTGTCCATGCAAAAGCAGGGTCAAAGTATGGGATTTATGATATTCCCAGAGCTTGGATTCAATCAAAATAGATCCTCTAGGTATTTTCTTTTCTTTTTTTTGGGGGGGGTTGTGGTTACCAGGAATTGAACTCAGGACCTTGCACTTGCCAGGCAGGTACTTATGTCACTAAGCTATCTCCCCAGTTCCTCCTCCAAGTTTTTCAACCACAGGCTTTTCCAGAGCAGGAAAGGACAGGCATGTCAAGGAAAACAACAGGCTTTGGTGTGAGCCTGGAATATGATACCAAGTACTCTGGGTTTAAGTTTAAACCTTTCCTCTAGAGACTGTCCTATCACATCTCCTGCTTCCTGTGATGCTTAGCCCATAGATGGTCATCTGTTCAGGCAATGAGCTGGACTTTTAAGTGACTGCTATTAATTACAGACTGTGGAGCTCATTAGCAGATACATTCTACAAAGAACAGAAACATGCTAGCCGGGTACTGATACCTGCTTCTGGCTCCATGGTGATATAAACGCTAGCTTATTTTAGGCTGAGGGAAGGAGACTCAGCACTTAGTAGTGCTTCCTCCAGGTGAGAGAATGCAGGCAGTCATCTGTGCTTCCTCACCAAGTCTCACCATGACCCTGATGCACTGGTGTCTGACAGCTCTCGGGGCGGATGTGGGAGAGAAAGCTCAAGGAGATATGCCATCCAGGAGCTCACCAAGGCTACCTGACAGGAGCTTTGCAGCCAGGGTGTGATTCTCCTCTGTGTGCCCACAAACTGTATCCTTCTTGCTCTGCCGAATGAACTGTGAAGCTACATCAAGAAGTGCTCATGTTGGCCCCAAATGCTGGGTGCTGGTTCTGAATTTCTAGAGAGCCTGTACTGCTCTTTATCCAGTGGGTGAAGGCCTTGATCAGAGAACAATGATGATGACATAACTCCAGGGGGTGCTTCTGGCTCTTGGAAGAAAGGATTCAGGCCAATGGAATTTACTCATGTAGACACATCAGTAGTACTCCTCCCTACAATCTTAAGGCCCTGAGGGAAATAGCACCTCCACTTCCTTGATACTGCCCCAGGATCCCTCAGATGTGGGACCCTAACAGATATAGTTAAGCCTTGGTACTTGTTTTTTTTTGTTGAA